GTCGTGGTCGTGGTCGTGGTCGTGGTCGTGGTCGTGGTCGTGGTCGTCGTCGTCGTCGTCGTTGTCGTCGTCGTTGTTGTGGTGGTGGTCGTTGTTGTGGTCGTCGTTGTTGTGGTTGTTGTGGTCGTCGTTGTTGTGGTTGTTGTCGTCGTTGTTATGGAGATTGGGGTAGGGATGAGAGGTTTCACAGCTGAGGCAGTGCATTGTACAAACTCCCCGCACACCTCAATGGCTTCGTATGTCTGCTTTCGGAAACAGAAAGGACATCCCGAAAGCGAGTAACTACATCAACAAAAAAGTAACCAATTATTAGTAGAAACAACCGAGAGCTGGATGATTTCATCCAGTTTCATCCCCCCAAAGCACCCAAATGCCAAAGCACAGCGGGACATCCTGAGGCCTCTTGCAGCTGCATCGGATGCGCCTAACGAAAAGCCAGCAGGTCACCAAGTCAGACGTACGATCCAAAGATGTTGGCATCTTCTGCAGCCAAATATATAATAAACGGGAGCTGGGTGGTGAATGGAGACCCCCGCGGCCGCGTCACTTCTTTTGGGAGCTATGAATGGACACCCCTTGCTGGTAGAATCCACAATCGAAACTAAAGTCATCTGGCAGATCGATGTTGCTTTGTGACAATCAATGTGCTTGTGACAGTCGAGGTGCCTAAACCCGATCATCAAACTTTAGACCAAAGAAAGACCACTCGCATTGCTCTTGCTCCACTTGCTCCACAACTTTCAGATTTTCCATCCAAAGAATTCCGATCTTGCCATTCTGCATTGGCTAATGACACCATACGCATTCTAGGAATAGCCACTAGCATGACATGAGTCTGACATTAAGTTTTGGCAAAGTGTTGTTGTGGTTTCATAACAGTGCTGAGGTGTTGTATGAAATCCCGTGCTCATCCATCTGTGTTCTTCTTAAACGACGGAACGCTAGAGGACTACTAGGACTTGGATTCTCTGCCCAAAGAAGCTAGGGCTACTAGGACCTCAAATTTTGCAGGTGTCTGAAAAGCGACAAATTCCAATTTCGTTTCTGTCGAAGATGCAAGACCCTGTTGAGTCTTCCCAACTGGTCTTCCACTTTCTTTCAATCTACCGTGGTCCGCCATGGCTTACCACGACCCCAGCGCTCCTCGCCTGCAAGCTCGTTCCATTCTCCGGCCTTGAGAGCACCCTGGCCGCAAGCGCGAGCAGCGCGAGCAGTGCCAGGCCGCCGATGCCCAGCACCAGTGCCCTCCGGCGGCCACCGGCCCAGCACGGGAACCACGTCCCCACGCCGCGGCCAGTCGCGTCGTCGTCATTGTCGGACGCGTCAGTGGCCCCATCGCGGAGAGGCTGGCGACGGCGGAGACCGGTCGGGGGGGAGACGCGGGGGTTTGAGGAGGTGAGACTGACTTGAGACGGGGTGGGGAAGCTACAGTGCAGGTCACCCGGAGTCACCCGTCAAATCCTCGTCTTCGAGTCAAAGAGTCTGGAAAAGAAAAAAGTGGCCGGCGGGCTCAAGCAGTCCCAGTTAGGGTGTAGACAGGTCTACAGTGCCCCCAGTATTCCCTCTGAGAGGTGTCCAAACACTTGAAAGAGCTGTGTTTTGTGCATTTCTCACATAGCACATATCACATATCAATGTTTATAGACTTGAGTAGGGCCTGATTTGAAAAGGTGTCATCTTGCATGCGTCCACTCTCAAGGAGCCAAGACCAAAGGTGATGCTTTTAGATATCTCCTAGATGCTTTTAGACACCAGCGCTTATCTAAAAAATAGAAAAACAAAGGCATGTACCGTGGTAGGTGAGGAAGGGGAAGATTTTGAACTCCTCGTGCAGAAAGCCAAAAAAAGGTGAACGACCTTGTATCGCTGCGGCAATTTGATGTCTGACTGAAAAGGTCGACCTCAAAAAATATGACCTTCGGAGGGATCCAACGAAAGAATGGAGGGAAGAAGCGTGAGGGCGCTTCTCTGAAAAAAAAAAACATGATAATATGTTCTATGAGGAAAGAATACCAAAAAACATGTCGAGTGGAAATTCTACATGCTCTGCAGAAGCTAATGAACATCTAGTTCTAGGCCCAACTTGTGTTTCTTTTGCAGTGCCAAGATGTGCCAAGGGGAAGTGTTGGCAGAGATTCGACCCAACCCCTGCAAACCCGAACCAATGTCCTAAACTACTTAGCTGCACATGAAAACCTTCTCAGTCCTCCTGGCCTGGGACTCATGGCGAATCAAGGCACGGTTCGACATGGTCGACCAAGAACGCCGCGAACGCCGGCCATGAAAGCAGGAAGATGCTGGATGGATCTGGACATCGGATTTTTAGATCTGAATCTGATCCCCAAACATCAAAGAACCTCAAAAATGTGTCGACAAGTCCAGCCTATCCTAGTATCAAAGCTACATGGGAGTGAACAAAACCAACTATGATATATACTAAATTACTTCCTTGGTAGACGACTTCTCATGGCTAGGCATGTGGTAGTATGATTCTGCCAACATAGCTTCCCCTGGGGGCCGTCAGCCCAATCAACCTGGGGACCTACATCTTGATCCGTGCAGTTAAGTGATTGACGGGCGGCGGATTTTGACAGAAAAAGGGCCAAAGCTTATCGTTTCCTGCCACTGGGTGCAACTGCGCTAAGTGCACCTTCCCCTCACTTCTCTATCAGGGAAGTGCCCAAAATGAAAAATCTGGAGAAAGAAACCAGACGTCACCAATGTTTCTCCGAAGCCCTGCTCCAAACCTTTCTCTCTTCAATCCCTTCTCCCTTTCTCCTGCCTTGATCAGATTCACCTCGGATTCACATAGCTGGCAAAAACAGTCGGCTCAGCGAGTACCGCGGCAACTCCCTACTTTCTTGCTCTCCGCTCTTTCTTTTGGGGTGGGGGGTTGCCACCCACGGCCCCAGTGGCTTCACTGGCGCGTGGTTTTAAAACCTTTGTTCCCCAAACAGTGTGGTCACACTAGAGGCTCTTACGACTGTAACAGTTAAGGCCGGCTGTCTGATCGAGGTGCTCGCATTAGTGGGTGGCTATTTCGCAGCTACTTACAGTACACCCATTCACCTTGGAGTCTTCGAAGTGCATTTTGACTGCACATTTTCGGACTTGGTGGTCACTTTTTGTGGCAGGCGCGAGGGAAACCTCGTGTTTTGGTCCAAAGTAAACTTTTCTCTGCAGGCACAGCGCAGCGGTTTTCCTTCGATGTGCAGATTTCCTGGCAGGCGCAGCACTTTGGATATGGTGGTGGTTCAGCGTGCATCGTGTCCTTTGGACATGTGGCTCATTTTCAGAAATCGGAAGAAGTCTCGAGCGAAAGCCGCGTTTTGGCATCTTGAAGTACTTTGTGGACCTTGATTGTGAAACGGGAAAGCGTTTTTTAAAAATGCACAAAGTCATGCAAAGCGCCGTGAAATCAATCAGGCAACCATGACACAGCATCAAAAACATGCTTGCAAATGAGAAGTAGGAAACGCAGGGCCGGCCGGTGGCACCCACCTTAGTTGGAGGCATTCCTCATACCATCTCATACCCAGTGGCAAAGCCATCCAAAAAGCCAGGTATGTCGAATCGACTTCCCACCGTTAAACCCTTTCGTACGGCCTTCCAGGGTGAAAGATCGCCCAAATCCCGACCGAAACGAATACATTGGGGTGGCGCGATGCCCACTGCGCAGCAGCTGCGATTTCACCCACCAACTGCTGCCAAAACCGAAAAAACGGTTCCGTCCCTTCTCGAGTGGTTCGTTTTCTGCGTGTGATTTCATGCATGTGGCCACTACTGGATGTTCAAGTCCCTCCTTGTTTGGCGAATTCGAATCTGATCCGGCAATTGGCCTTGTTTTGCTTCAAGGGACTGGTGAAGCGTCTCCGTGTTGGAGTTGCTCCAGTTCTCCCGAACCAATGCGGGGGGGCCTTTGTTGACTTGGGTGCAATAAGAATAGGTCGGGGGAGCCCTGGGGACGTTTAATGCCTTGCGGCGAAGTGCCTCACTTTGGATGGCAAGGGTCGCGCTGGCTCACATGTCTCAGAATTCAAGACATAGAAACAGCTTTCAAATACTTCAGTGCACACACACACTGCTATGCAAAAAGGTCTGGCTGCATGCTATCTACGGCTATCTACTTGTCCTTCAGGCAGCTTCATGACAAGTTCATGGGTCTGAGTGTCTGAGTACCGGCAAATCTCCACAAACACCTGGCACTGCATAACTTCTGGGAGCGACCGATCTCCAAAGACTTGGGAAAAAAGGGACAACGACTGTAGAACAATAGCGACAAGCTTTTGCTCTTCGCCCAACCACCTGGGATTGTGGCTGACGTAGGTGGACGGCTAGCTAGTACTTCTACTACTCAGTCATCTGAGAGCCAGACAAGTTCCAACCGCGATCGTTTCAGCCCAAAAACACAACAATCAGGTCGAGACAAATTGCCGGAGCACTTGGGTACTAAAAAAAGGGAACACGGAACCAGGTTGAGAAGCGGGCCCGCCTCAAAGTCTCCCAAGAGCAAATCCAGAGGGAGGAGCAAAAAAGCTGGTTTCATCGTCGAGCAGAGGATTGTAAGAGCGAGGATTGGGAGTTGCGTCATAACCTGAGACGGTGGTGGAGGACAAAATACCTTGAGAGGCATTGAGAGGGAGTGTTTTGAAAGAGCTACAAAAGCATCTGATATTAAAGTCTAGAAAATTACATGCAGCTTCTGGACTATCTCTGGTGATGTTGTACTTGAAAGTGGTCCGTGACGGCTTTTGTTGGGACGTCCGACTTTCATTTGTACAAATACATTTGTTTAAATATGATTCCTCCCCAGGTCGTTCTAAAACAACAGGAATTCAAAGGAAAAAGAACAGCCAAGGCAAAGGAAAGTAAAAGACAAAGGACATGAAAAGAAATGAAACGAATAATAAAAGAAAGCTAACACAGACAAGGGAACAGGAAGAGGAAACGCCAAGGAAACAGAAATGGAGAAGGAAAACAAAAAACATTAGGAATGGTAAAGAAAAAGGACAACCGACCAGGGTTTCTCCCTAGAATAAATCCTCTATTTCCAAGAATTTCCCCAGCAAAGGTTGCTTTAAGCTTGTCTGGCCTTTGGCCTTTGTTGTTCTTGGCTTCGGTTTGAAAAGGTTTTCAGTGTGTTCTGGAAAGGGCGCAGCACGTGCAGCGCAGCCGTCTGGCCCCTCCTCAAAGCTAACCAAGCAAGAACTGATCTGGTATACGGTATACCACATGAGCTAAGAGCCAAAGACACCAAAGACAAGCCACAGAAGCCGAAAGCCACCAAAAGACACCAGGAACAAACATTGCAAGACTTGCCAACTCCAAAAAAAACGAGGCAAAGTCTAAATGGTCAAGCCTTCTTCGAAGAAGGCTACCGGGTCAGCCAAAGACGCACGGGTCAGCCAAGGGGTTGCACGTTCGCACGTTCTCTCGCGGTTCGGGTCAAGCGTGTTGTTTCCATTCAGAGGACCCACAACTGACACGTCCTCAGGGTTGATGCCAGCTTCCAAGAGTTCGGAGGAGAGCACCGTCTGCACCGTGTTCGTGTCATAGGCGCTGAGGCTTTGGCACACCTCCTAGGCGCTGAGGTCAGGTCCCCTGGTGTCTCGATGGCATCCATTTAAAGAGTCTGGTGGACTCCTATTGAGTCTGGACTCCTTGTGGCAGGCGTGATCCCGTGATCTTTACAGGAATTTCTTGGACTTCGGGGATGCCTTTTAGATCGTGGGTTCCTGGACTTCCATCACAACCGGTCGTGGTCGTGTGGCAAGACTCAAGAGCCAGGAGAGCGGGCACGAAAAGAACAACGCCTGTTAAAAGAACGCTTTCTTTGAGGTCATGGGCTCCCAGAAGTCCAAAGACTTTTACTTCTCCTATACTTCAGGAAAAATAAACATCAAAAAAAGAAAAAACTCGATTCAGCTACCCTTTTGATCGTCTTTGATTCCCAAACCATAGGCTTCAGCGCCCTTCTAAACCACCTTACACCTTGCATGACTCCGACTCCTACTGCCCTACTCCATCCTACTCCTCTCTCCTACCCTCCCTCCCTTCCCAAAACCCCGGTCCTCCGCGGCGTCATCGCCCACGCGCACCTGAAAGCAGACGCCCACCGTCTCTTGCAAGCGCCGGGCCGCCCGCAGGAGCCGGCTCTGCACGCCCCCGCGCCCGCCCTGCAATCAAAAGGGGGTCAGGAGCCGGATCAGGAGCAAAGAACAGCAGATCAGGACGGGGGAAATCCACGAGGGGGTTCCCCAAAAAGGTTTGCTGAGCAAGACTTCAATCTGAATTCAAGAAACTGACCCCAGCAAAACCAGCAAGTCTTTGAAAGATCGACACAAAAAAAGTGATTTGGGAGTTTCTGCCCAGCCAAGAGACAGACCTGCGGCCTGCGCTCCGTCCACTAAGGCGTGGGAGTTTTTGCTTGTTACAGGCTCCTAGAACACTCTACCTATATACTGTTCCTGCAGAGGTCTGCAGAGGTTGCACCCCAAATGATTCCTGCTTAGCCATGGACCCAGACATAGCGCAGACACAGCGCTGCGACGAAAACCGATCCCCAAATGAGAGGCAGCCAAGGTCCGACAAAACAGCACTCCGAAACACTAAGAGGATGTTTCACAACCCAGGAAGGCCTGTGCAAAGCAACCCCAGTGATGATGGCTTCCCTCTGTGTGGTGGAAGCAAATCACAACCCAGTAAGGCCTCTGTACAAACCCCGAAGCTGAGAATGTCCTGCAACCGAGACAAAGACTCCAGCGGCCACTCTGGCACAACCCAGCCTTTGGTTGGCTTGACCCCTCGTAGGGCAGACTCCTTGGATGGGCAGCACGGCCTTGAAACCTCTGAGACTTTACAAAAGAACCCTTGTTTTGCCAATCCTTTTTACACTACAACACCAGCTCAACCTTTCTTTTATATGGTCAAACTGAAGGCGAACGGGCCTTAATGTGTGAGTGAGTACCTCACGTGTCTCTCCTCGTGTCTCTCTTCCAGGTCCAAGAGCCGGAGCGTCGCCGGCACTGCGGCGTTTTCAGTTGGTTTGATGCGCTGAGATAGGAAGAGCACCCTGGTTGACCCCGGGTCAAATGGACAGATCCTGGATTGTCCAGGATCAAATGGTTTCCTGAGGGAGGTATTGACTCACAGCCATGTTGTTTGGCCCAACGTCCAAGAGCCGGGGCTCTTTTGAGTACAACAGCCAAGATTCACAGCTGGCATGGTCGGCATGCCCGCAGGCGCAGCTG